TAATGAAGAGAAGATTCCAAATACGGTTCAGATCGAGATATATTAAATTTGGATGATGATATAGAAAGCATGTTTTTTTTTTATTGGTTTATTTGTTTATTTATTTATTATTTCTTTACTCATAATAACCTTTTAGATCAAGATCCGAACCAACCTAATGATTATGATGATTCTTTGAACAATATTGATGCCGATGCCAATACCAACATTGATGCCAACACCAACATCAATGCCAACACCAACGTCAATGCCAACACCAACGTTAATGCCAACACCAATGTCAATGCCAACACCAATGTCAATGCCAACACCAACGTCGATGCCAACACCAATGTCGATGCCAACACCAATATTGATGCCAACACCAACGTCAATGCCAACACCATTTTTGATGTTGATGCCAATGTGATGTTAATGTCAATACTAACGTTGATGCCAACACTATTTTTGATGTCAATACTGATACCAATGACAATCGTAATAAGTAATTTAAATTTGGCTTTTGTTTTATTATATAATAGAATCTAATTCTTCAGACTAGCTTCCGAATACAGTTCTAGCTGATATCACGAAGCAAGACTCCAATATTATGCGACATGAAATTCTACGAACTATTGCTTGAAAAGATCTTCAACAATATACTGAAAAGATGACTAAACAGATGTTGAAGAAAAGAAAATTAAATAATTTTAAGGTTGGGGACCTTGTTCGGATAAGCATTCCTAAAATAGATCGGTTTGGTATCGATCGCCCCTCTTTGCCTTGTAAAATTTTAGAAGAAACTGGTGAGCAACAATTCTGACTAGGATATAAGTTCGGCACAATCAATGTATATTACTCTTCAGGTGAACTTGAAGAACTTGGAACTTCAACTTACCCCGAACTTAATACAATTCCACCTGGCAAAATATCTACCCGTGAGGCATCACGGCTCCAAAGTGTTGGAATGGTATTGAGTTCTGTTTGCAGTTGTAAGGGTTTATGTGATACTAATAGGTGTAGATGTAGAAAGGTCGAAGGAAAATGCACAAGTCGATATTATAGTGGGCGGTCCTGTTTGAATAAAAATTAGAATTTTATTTTTAATTTAATATGTAAAGCTATAATAAATAAATAAATTATATTGCTTTTAATTAGTTTACCATAGAGTAATAAATTATGTACATACTAAATTCGAAATAAAAAAAAGCGATTATATTTTAACTTGTGCCTCATATTATGCTTTGAGGCACCTCAGGTGACCGATCTAGAAGTTATGCACCTCACCTGACGATCAGCATCTGAGGTGCGTCATCTTCGATCTGACGGGGAAAAGGATATGAGGCACAACATATATATACTATTCTGTTAATTATAATAAAAAATAATAGTGAAATTGTCAAAATTAAAAAAAAAAGTGTATTATTAAATTTTAAAATAGTGTAAAAATGCTTTATTCTTTTAACTATTTCTCCTGCAAATTTGCTCTAAAATTTTTGAAGTTTGATTTGTAATTTATATAGTGTTTGTAGCATAATAAAAATTAAGGTTTATTTATTTAATCTAAAAATCTTAACTTTTATTATTTGGAAATTTATTAATTTTTAGTATTATATAATATATTGTTTTTGGTTTGATTTGATCATCTTCTATTGGCTTTGTCAATTCCAATCATTATTATAATCATCATTACGATTATTGTAATTATTTTATTTTTTTTTTTATATACCACTTTAATATTATTTTTTAATAAAGATATAGAATATGGATGATGATATTAAAAATAATGACTTATATATTTTTGAGCTTATATAAAATATTGAAATTAAAATTAAAAATAAAGTAAAAGATATTACTAATAATGATAGTGATAAAGTTGAAAATGAAGCTATCAATGAAACAGAAGAAGAAACTTCTAATAAAACAGAAAAGAAAACTATGAATATTAAAAATAAAAAAAAGAACTGAACTAGATGGTGCCCCATACACATTGTGCTCCTTACTATGAAAATTGTCAAAAATTGCTAATATCTCACAATTTTACTAAGGTAACTCCTGTTGTGTAACTAAGAAAAAATGATTCTTACCTAAAAAAACACTTAGCCAACCCTAACCCTAACCTAACCCTAACCCTAATGTTAATCTTTGTATTAGTTTGCTATTAAAACTTAGGGAGGGCACAATGTGCATGGGAGCACCATTTAGATTTTACTAAAAAAAATTAGTAAAATTAATAAACATAGTAAAACTAATATATATATATATATCTCAATCAAATTTACCAGTACGGTCATAGTTTTAAAAATTCTAACATGTTAAATCATATTATATTTCTCAAGTAGAAGTAGCTAATAAATTACCTATTGGTGAAATTACTTCTTATTTAATTTTTGTTTATTTTTTTCTAATTTACAATTGAATATTATTGTTGAAAATATAAATTATTATACACTAGCAAAATTAGCTAGTAAAGAGCATAAATAGGATTCTTTAACAATTAAAGAATTGTTAATTTGGTTTGCCTTAATAATTTATATAGGCATTTTTAAGTTATCAAGTTGGGAAAATTACTAAAAAAACAGATTAGAAATATCTACAACATAAAATTACTAAATATATGAATATGATTTGAATAAGTTATATATATATTTTTTTAATTTTATTCAAATTTGTTTTTGTTTTATTAAATTTTTTTAAAATAAAGATAAAGTGATATCTTTATATTGCAAAAATTAAAACAAAAACATCACAGTTACTATGGTATTCAAAAATTGAACTTTTGGCAATGCATATTCAAAAAGTTTCTAAATCAATTTATCCAAGTTTCAATTAATGAAATAGTTGCCAGATTTAGAGATAAAAGCAGTTATATAGTGTAAATTAAAAATAAACTCATACCAGAAGAATAGTACAAAATACATTCATTATGTGATTTAGGATATATTTATTTTATTTTTACTTTCTGTATTGAATTTATTGAATTTAATTCTGAAATTAATCTAATTCTGAATATTAATAAAATTAGTTGGCAGATTTATTATCTGATATTTCAATTTTCAAAGAGTAAAGTATTTGAAATTTATATGGATAATTATTTTACAAATATTAATCTATTTAATCATATGTGAAAAAAATAAATATAGTGGTTGTAGAATAGTAAAATTAATACTCCAAAGCTTCTACTTATTTAAAAATAGAAAAATCACAAAAATTAGAATGAGATACTCTTTTTAGAATAGTTGTGAATGATGTTTTAGTTGTATTTTAGAAAGAAAATAGTTTAATGACTATATTAACAACTATACATAAAATTTTAGATAAAGAAATTGAGTAAAATGAGAAAAAAAGAAGGCTATAAACAACTAGTATAAATGCTATAAAAGTACATAGTGTGTTTGGTAATGCAAGTAAGTAAGTTTTTTCTATACCTGCTGTAATAGATAATTACAATTATTATATAAGCAGAGTTGATATAGCTGACCAATTAAGAGCCTATTATAGTATACAAGTTTCTGTATATCATATTTGAATACTATTGTTTTTTTGGCTTCTAGATACTAGCATTGTTAATACCTTTTTAATTTCAAAAAATCTTAACTTGGCAATAGTGCACAAAGATTTCAAGATATATTTGGTATAGAGTTTAATAAAAGAATCAATTGAAATAATTCAAATAGGCCCAACAAATAAATACACAGACAAAGAAAGAAAAATTTAGTCTGAATTATAAAATAATTAGCAAAGACTATTTTATATTACAAAAAAACTTGATTTATTTATTGAATGATTATCTCTACAAAGTCACTACCTGGAATATCATGAAAATAAAAGTTTCTGTAGTTGGTTTCATTTTAAAACAAGTGTGGTGCAAAATGTATAATGTCAATAAGCAATGTCCAAATTGCTTTATTAAGTATCATAAATAAAATAAATACTGTTTTTGCATTGTAGTATAAAATATTGTATCTTATTTTTTTTGATAAATTTAGCAATCTTGCCAACACTTTATTAGTATAATATACAAGCTCACAGGGAGTATAATATATTAGCCAAAGTTTATCTAATTTTTTTAAATATTCTCTAACTCAACTTTTTGTAATACCAAGATTGAATAACATAGTTAATGCCAACTCTAGACAGATCCAGGATGTAGATAGGATTTTCCGGATTACATGAAAATCTAACCTATGATCAAAATTGGCTCTCTTGGTTATACAAATCATAACAGTATATATATAGCTTTTTTTTTTTGTTGTAGTTTTTTTTGTTATAGTTGGTGCCGTCGCTTAGAGTCATCATATACTTGTATAGTACCATCACTTGGAGTTGCTGTATGTTGTTTTCTTCGCTTAAAACTAGTGCTTTTATCTCGAAATGTTTAATAAAGTAGTACTGTATGGTAGTACCAATTCGACAGACATACAAAAAATTATTATGTCGTTAATGTAGACTTGTATTTATTGACAGTTAGGGTTAGGGTATTAATATAGTCTTTTTTCAGGTTGTGTTAGTTGAAAAATAACTGATGAATTTTTTTTTTTTTTTAAACTTACTGGTGATGTTTCGCAAAGTTATTGTATATTGATGTCTTCACTTGAAGTTGTCATATGTTGATATCATACCATTCTTGACTTGTATTTGTGGGTGCTTGGTGCTATAGGTTATTTAGGTTCAGTAGTAGCTAGAAAGTTAGAGTTAGGATAGTGCAAAGTTTGTATAAGAGTTAGATAAGTTAGGGTTAGAGTTGTGGGATTAGTAAAAGAGCTAGAAAGTTTAGGGTAATTCAGAACTAATATAAAATAATTTGGAATTAATCTAATATCATAATTTAAAATAAAAAATAATTTAAAATAAAAAATAATTTAAAATAAAAAATAATTTAAAATAAAAAATAATTTAAAATAAAAAATAATTTAA